CTGCAGCTTTTACTTTCGTTTTGTGTTTGTTTATTTATTTTAAAAATTTGTTTTATGTTTAAATGTTCGCCGGTTCTTGCCTCCTTCTTCCCTGAACTACGAACTTTGTTACATAAAACTTTAATAGATAGCCTAAATAAACAAACACAACACGAAAGTAAAAGCGGTAGCCCCTCACAGACGACTGCCGCATAAAACATAATTGCTGGTTTCATGGTACGATTTTCTCACTATTTTTTTTTTACAAAATGAAATTTGGAATGTAAAAAGTGTCCTTTCGTTATTTCTCAGATAAAATGCTGCACATTTCTTTGTGAAATTTAAATATCTTATGTCAAATAACAAAAAAATAAATTGAAATTTTAAAACAAATCCCAAATTAAATATATAGCATTTCCTTGGTTACCACTGTAAACAATGCAGCGCTGCGCTTATAAACACTACTTCACTATGCATTATACAGAGGCAAGATGAAAATGTATGTTTAATTCTTACCGCGTTATGCTTTTAGAGGTGAAGGCACTAATGAGCCACTGAATGTCCAGAATCTTAAACGGAAAAAGCACCAGATGGGTGGAGTTGTCCAAGTCCATGACGCTTTCAGGATACATAATTCGGTGAGTCGTCTTTAACCCTACATCCTTCTCATAACCTTCTGTCGGCCCTTTATTTATCCTGAGAGAAATACACAAACCAGATTGAGGTGTGCATGATATTCTGATGAAAAGCCTTTAAGTTATTTTTAAAAAATTGTTTAAATCATCTTTTCCACATCTGAAATCACCTGGTCTAATGTGATCTCATGACTCAAGGCATTCGATCACAGCCTCGGTCGATAAATGCACGACGACATATCCATTCCATCGATACTGATGCTTCATTATTCTCTAAACTCTCACTAACTTGAAAAGTGAAAGTCAATCAGTAATATAATCTCATTTACTACCTTATGACAAAGTCATGAAGATCTATTAGAGGCCCATAATGGGATCCCAGAAGGTTCCCAGAGTTTCCCACCACAGCACAAGTTCTGCAGCGATCTGGTCCGGCATCTGAGTAGTGCTCTTTATCGGGGAAGAGCGAAAACAGCTGATCTACCACCTTTGTGTAGTTGCTGGTATTTGGTACAATTTGTAGCCCCTGTGATATTATTAAATAAGTTAGCATCAAAAGTAGGTATAATATCCACTCCTGTAAAAATGTTATAGTAGTGTACTATTTCAAGAGGTTTACATGCCTTATGTTTATTGTGAATTAATTATACCAGGGCTAGTTGTCACAAGATCTTTATCGCCAAAACCATAAGGTTTTTAGTGAAAAGTCAAATTACATGCTTGATTTCTCTAGCAGTGTTTTCTATGTTGGCCTTAAACATCTGGTTTAAAATTAGGATAATTTCTATGGATAATTAAATTTTTATGGCAATTGTCTGCCCATATGCTGTATATTTCTATCATATTTCGATCAAAAATGGTGGAGACGTGATATTAAGATTAGTCAACATTTAATCAGTATTTCAGTTAGTCAACATTTGTATTTCAAATAAATGCTGTTCTTTTGAACTTCCTATTAATCAAAGAATCCTGAATAGAAATGCATCACTGTTTCCACAAAAATATTAAGCAGCACAACTGCTTTCAACATCGATACTAAAAAGAAATGTTACTTGAGCAGCAACTTAGCATATTAGAATGATTTCTGAAGGATCATGTCATGTAACACTTACGACTGGAGTAATGATATTGAAAATGTAGCTTTGCATCACGGGAATAAATTACATTTTTAAATATATTGCAATAGAAAACAGCTATTTTAAATTGTAATGTAATTCTACAATATTACCGTTTTTACTGCATTTTAGACCAATGCAGCCTTGGTCAGCAAAACAGACTTCTTTCAAAAACATTAAACAAATCTTACCAACCACAAAGCCACAAAACCAAGTAAAGTTAGTAAATGCTGTATATTTATTTTTCAGCAATCTTTCTTACCTTCCACCACCTGGAGACGCTTGCATGTAATACACTGTTGGTGCTGTTGAGCAGAAGTGGTACATTGGGGTTGTATCGCTTTCCAAACCAGTCACTATTTCCTCTGTCCGCCACGCATATGTGGCACGCACAAGGAGATCTTTGGTCAAAACCGTTGGTCAAAACCAACAAAGAGTTTTGAAAGTACAGAAGTAACAAGATGATAGTGGAGCTCAAGAGTGCGGTCATGTAACGGCGATGTTTCAGTAGTAAAACCACCATCTTTACATCAGTGTTGTTTGAGGTTTTGTCACTTCAACCTGAAATATAAAAGACCTATCGAGGGAAAGAGAGTGGTTTATGTTGAGATGCTAAAGAGACATGATATGGTAACAGCTCTGAATACAATGTGTATCACTGCACTAGCAAATACTATCTTAAGATATTGTGAATATTCACAATAGAGCATCTCATTGCTTAAAGGGATAGTGCATCCAAACTGAATAAAATGTAATAACTGAAGAATGGCACAGCAGTTTTAAAAGGAGTTTTAAAATTAGTTTAGTTTTAAAGATGATATTTGGTAACCAAACAGTTTGTGGAAATCCCATCGACTTCCATAGAATGGACAAAAATAAAAAATAATATGGAAGTGGGACCAGATAACTGTTTAGGCTACCAGCATTCTTCAAAATATTCCACAGAAGAAAGTAAGTCATACAGGTTTGGAAAGACATAAGGTGACTAAATGATGACAAAAAAAATTTTTTTTGGGTGACTATCCCTATTACCAAAACTGACTGCAATGCCGTTCTTCATTTTGTATCAAGAAATTAAACAAAATAATATAGGTAAACAGATGCTTTTTATATATCCATAAATTAAAACAAACTTTTATATATTAAATTGATTATATAGCTTTATATAGCAGAATACATACCAATTTTAATTTTTTATTATTATAATTTTTCTTTAAAGGTGGCTACAGCTTATAGAAAAATAACCCGCACTGGTTCATCAAAGCATCCATATATACAAGTCTACATGTTACCGATAGTTTTTGTAAGGTGTTGTAGATCACGATTATGGGTGATTTTTTTTAACGGATTCATAAAACGAATTTTCTCAAAAAACTCACTTACTGAAACTGACTTACCTAGCCTATACTATGGAAGGAGCCTTGAAGGTGTATTTCAGAGACTCCTCAACATACTGGCACGGTGTCAAAGCTTGGTTTATTAGAATGACTGCTGATGGTTTGTAAGGACTGGAGTAACTTAACCTGGATTTTATTGGCAGTTTAGCAGTAAGGAGGAGTTTATATGTGACTCCCTCTAACGTCAGTTTATCCACCTGGGGTTTAATTACGGCACATGACAATGCACAATCCTTCCCGAAAATTTGCATTTCTAGAGGGATTGTCAATAGTTATGTAATTGAGGCTTTTTTTGTATGTAAATGAGCCGGACGGACTTGTTCCACAGTTGCGCACGCGATGTTCTAAAAATGCAGCGCTCAAGTTAAAAGAAGTTCAGCTTTAAAAAAAACAAACTAGTCTCTAGAACGTTTTTTT